CCCAGGGGGAGCATTTTCAGGGATTGAGTTGATGACAGAGGTGATAGTCACTTCTGGGGCATTGTCATTCACATCCAGAACTGTGACATAAATTTTAGCTTTGCCCTTGAGACCAAGGCCATCCTTAGCCTCTAATTCTATCACATAGAATTCTGCAACTTCATAATCTAAATTTTGTGAGGTTGATAATTCTCCAGTCACAGAATTCAGTTGGAATATTTGAGAGGTTTCACCTGGTCTTTTCACTTGAAAGTATCTTACCTGAGAATTGATTCCTTCATCTGCATCAGTGGCATTCACAGTGAGCAGCAGTGTCCCCTGGGGTACATTCTCAGGAACACTGACAGTATACATGGACTGGGTAAACACTGGGGCATTGTCATTGGCATCCAGGACAATCACTCGGATTCTGGCAGTGCCAGAACGGACAGGTTCTCCTCCATCCCATGCTGTGAGCACGAGGTGGAGATCCGGTTCCTTTTCCCGGTCTAGAGCCTGCTCCAGCACCAGCTCTGGATACTTCACCCCATCGTCTGTGCTTTGCACTCTCAGAGAAAAGTGATGGTTGGGGCTCAGCTCATAACCCTGTAGAGAATTTACTCCCATATCCGGATCATATGCACTTTCCAGGAGATGCTGGGTTCCAGGAGATGTGAGTTCACTGATTTTTAGTTCTAGTTCGTCTGCTAAAAAGTGAGGGGCATTATCATTAATGTCATTTATTTCCACCTCCACTGAATAGATTTTCAGTTCATCCTCAACCAGGATATTAAAATTCAGCAAGCACTGGGTCCTCTGGGCACAGAGTTTTTCCCTGTCTATTCTGTCCCTTATGACTAAACTGCCACTTCTGACGTTGAGAGCGAAATGAGCCTTCTTACCTTTGGAGACAATGCGAGCCCCTCGCTCTGACAATTCCGTTGGCTGCAGTCCCAAGTCCTTGGCGATGTTGCCCACAAAAGATCCCTTTTCCATCTCTTCGGGAATCGAGTACAGGATCTGGGCAGCGCTGATCTCCCACAGAGTCCCCAGGAGAAAACAAAGCAGCAGTCGCCGAATGCAACCTCTGTGGTTTTGTTCAGCAGCCATTGTTTCCTTTAGAAATGTTCACCTTATTTTGCAGCTGAGGCTGGGTTAGCTCTTGGATTTTATGTTTCCTCCTGTAGTATGTGTCCTGAACCTTAGTCTGGAGCACATGAAATTAGGGTGCTTACTTTCCGTGCATGTGTTTGGTCTCCCAGAGCTTTGTGCCCCAGCCCCAGGAAAGGTTATCCTGGTCCTCTCACTGAATTTCCCTTGGTGATTGGTGGACAGCGGCACCCAGAGTCTAAATCAATTATTGCACTTGTTCTGGGACACTGAATGTTTAGATTGGTATAATGTATGAAATGCCATTTAAAAAAAACCTGAAGTCATAGATTTGGAGTTACCTGAGATTATAACTTCATAGGATCATAGGTTTAATGTTGGTTGGAACCTTCTAATCAGTATTATACAATTCCATTCAGCCTAAGAGTGTTAAAATATAATTTTTTTAAAATGTCAATCATTAGAATGTTTTTATTGTCAGCTTTTGTAACCTTTACCTTCAGTTATTCAGGTGAAATAACTCCCAGGGATTATAACATTGTATAAGTTCTACAGAATAGAAAAAATTATTTTCTGTTAATTACTTACTTTTCAGACCATAAAGCAGTAAATATACTGACCCTGTCATTTCAGTGTAATTTCAGTGCACATTTATCCATATGTATAGTCATACACATATTTGTTTGTCTGTGTATGTATGTATGTAGGTAGGTATGTATGTGTATAATCTATTAGTCAGGCTAAATTTTGACATGGTACTAATTTGTCCATGATAATAGAATATTAACTTTTGAATTATGTATTAACTTTCTAAGTACAATCAAAGAGTGGGTGTATTCTGTAATTTCAGACTTGCAGTTCAGTAGAGGTCAGACAGTTGATATTAGTTGCTACCATTTTTTTATGTTCTCCTAAACAAAACAGTACAAAACATGATGACTGTAACCTCAAAATTATCCATTGGCTCTAACCCACTGGAGTATAAAGTTCACAGTGCCACCAAACAGTTTAAAGTAACTTCTGTTCTTCTGTGTAAAGTTTACCAATTGAAATGTGATATTGTTTTTAGAAATGAGAAAGAAATCAAAAGCATATTGACTATCATGATAAAGTAATTGAATATGGAAATGTTCTTCAGTACTTCAAGGACTTGATATTTCTAAGAAAATAAGAATATGAATCACTTCGTATTTATGTAGGCTGGTCCTCATAAGGCAGAAATAGAAACACAACTCATCATATGAGAGTAGAGTGATGGTCACTTGAGAAAGTGTAAGTAAGGCATGAGAATGTGTTGAAGTTTTACTTAAATGTCCAGTTCCTGCTAAAAACGAATCTATCCTTGTGCTCACAGAGTCACAAAGTCTTCAAATAAAGTGAATCAGAGCTAAATTGTGCATGGGAACAAAAGCCAGAGGTTCAGGTATACAGATCTTCCAAGTCAAAATTTAATAACACAGACATTTATAAAGCCTTAAGAGGAAAGTTTATACTGAAAATATTATGACAGAGAATAAAAGAGGAGAACTCTACTTCTTGCACTTCTCTCTCATCTAATAATCCAACCATACTACACACCTCAAAATCCAGCAAAAGAAAAAATTAGGATTATAAAAGGATAATACAATCCACCAATTTTCCCTACTTTAAATACATGAGTTTTATGTCTTTATATTTTAGCTACTACACAAACCTTTAAAATAGTAGTGATTTGAAAATCCATCTTAGTAACAGCTTCATATATATGTGTATATATGAACACACAGAGATAAATATATGTGTACATATACATGAATATGTAAAAATTCAAGGGGAGTTTGACTATATGAATCAGTAATCCATTACAATTTTAATCATAAAAAATATTATGGATCTGAGCTCAATGGAGCAATTTTAAAAGGAGAGTTAACTTTCCTTAGTCACTACTATGACCTTGGATAAATTATTCCACCTTTCTGGGTATTTGTTTCCATTCCCTAAAAATTTGAGTGTTGTCTGGATGATCTCCACAGTAGTTTCAAGTTCTATGATGTTAATAATACTTTGAGTGTAGTTAAATTCTTCTAAGGCCAGAAATTCATAACCAGAATAACTAGAAAATGCGATCGACCTCTCTAGTGAAAAGTACCCACAAAAAAGTAATGACATGAGTCACCAAAAATTAATTTGCAATTCTATTCTACAGAATAAAGTTTACCTGGAAAAATGCTTGTTCAT